AAAAAAAAAAAAATGAAAGAGGGACATTCACCTGGTTTCCTTGCCTTTCATTCTGCGTCCTACACACTTCCTTGGGGACTACACTTCAGGTGGTCCTGACTCCACCTCCAGTGCTGACTTTTCCTACATTTTAAAATGGTTTACAATGGTGTGCCATCATAAGATAAACACTGGGCTGCTAACTGCAAGGTCAGCAGTTCAAACTCAGCTGCTTCTCAAAAACCCTATACAGTGTCACTATGAGTTGAATCAATGGCACTTAACAATAAGAAGGAGCCCTGAATAGAGCTGAGAGCAAAGCATCTAGCTGATATGAAGTGAAGGGAGATGCACAAGAATGCCCAAACTTGTAGATAGTACCCATTCAACCTAGCTTCAATCGCTTGATGATAAGAACTTGACTAGAGGAAAATTTAAAAAAAAATTTTTTTTTGATATAGGAAACAAGTGTAAATTGCTATGATTTGATTAACTTGACCTATACTTATGGATGTACTAGCTCAAAATACCAACTGAGAGGGAAGAAGTCTTCACATCAAGTATCAATCCTATCCCCTCTGTATACAGGGTTGTTGTTGTTGTTGTTGTTAAGTGCTGTCGAGTCGGTTGCGACCCATAGCGACCCTGTACAGGGTTTCCGAGGGTGTAAATCTTTACGGGAGTAGACAGGGTTGTAGGGATGGGCAATTCATGAAGTGACTGGCTTAGAAGTTTTCAAGAGGGGGTTTAGTTTCAGAGTGTGTGGGGAAGGTAGAATTCTCACTGAATAGTTTTCATCTTGTCTAGACAGGTCTTGTGAAAGGAGGCAGAGATAAGATTCTCATGATTCAATAGTGAGTAATTGTTATCATGACTAATTGCGACTGTCACAACTATAAAGTTAAAAGTTTTGTAACAAAAAGGGGGGAGTATTTAATCTTACAGTCCAGGAACAGAGGATCCTAGGACCATCAAGGGAGAAGAACACAAGCGAGTGGAATGTGGGAGCCTATCGGAAGAATCAGTGACACCAGAGATGGAAACAGAGATGAGGCCAATGGAAAGATAGAGCAGCTGAGGACTCTATACCCATGGAAAGAGAAAAGCTGTGTGCTGGCAGCCAGGCGGCAGACTTCCAGAATGTGCCTTTTGGTTGTTTAATGATTATATATTCCTGAGTGTTTTCGTGTACATACACCCCCCCCCCAAAAAAAAACAACAACAACAACAGCAAAACACAGAGGGACTAGAAGCCAAATACTGTTGAATGATGATACACGGAGGATTCATTGCAATGAAATGATGAGTGTAAAACCGATGTTCTCCCATGTAAACTACTGCTCAATTCATGATTTAAAAAAAAGGAGCCCTGATTGTGCAGTGGGTTAATGTTGAATTAAATACAGCAACTGCTTCTTGGGAGAAAGATGAAGCAATCTGCTTCTGTAAAGATTCATAGCCTTAGAAAGCCTAGGGAGCAGTTCTACTCTGGTGTATAGGGTCCCTGTGAGTCATAATGGACCTGATGGCAGTGAGGCTTTTTTGGGCGGTGCAAGAGGTTCATGATTGGCTGCTAACCTAAAGGTAGGGCTTCCAGTACACCCAGTGGTTCTGGAAAAGAAAAGCCTGGCAATCTATTTCCATAAAGATTACAGCCAATACCCAAAATTGGGGAGCTACAAAGGCAAGAAGTGACTGGCTTACAAGCTTTCAAGAGGGAACCTAGATCCAGAGGGCATGGAGGAAGGTAGAATCTCCACTGAGTAGTATCCAATCTGTCTAGGAGGGGTTGATAAAAGAAGATGTGGATAGATCTAGGTCTCTTTTGATACAATAGTGAATAATTGTTATCAGGACTGATTGTGAGGGTTGGAAATGTAAAGGTAGATGTTTTGTAGCAAGGAGGGGAGTGATTAACTTTTCAGTCTAGGAACGGAGGTCCCTGGGACCATCAAGAGAGAAGAGTGGAGAGCAGGATCCTACCCAGAGAAGCAGGGATGCCTGAGATGGAGGCAGAGACGATGACATGGAGAGATGGAGCAGTTGGGGACTCTAGACACAGAGAGGGAGAGGGGCTGTGTGCTGACAACCCGGGTGCAGGCTTGCAGTGTATACCCTTTGATTGGTTGATGATGCATGGAGGGGATTGTAACCATGGCAATGAAACTATATACGATAGGATGAATATAAAACTAATGTTCTCCCATGTAAACGATCACATAATTCACAATAAAACATTAAAAAAAATTGTAGCCAAGAAAACTCTATGGAGTAGTCCTATTCTGTCACACATAGGGTCACTAGGAGCTGGATTTGACTGGAAGGCAATGGTTTGTTTTCTTTTATTTTTTGTATGGAATCCCTGTTGTTAAGTACCATTGAGTTGCTTCTGACTCATAACGACCCTGTATAGGGTTTCCAAGGAGCAGTTGGTGAGTTTGAACCGCCGACCTTGCAGTTCAAATCGACTTGCAGTCCAGCGTTTATCCCACAGTGCCACACCAAGACTTCTAGGTGGTACAAATGGCTAGTGAGTTTGGCTGCTCACGGAAACGTTGGAGGTTCAAATCCACCCAGAGACTCTTTAGAAGAAAGGCCTGGTGATCTACTTCTGAAAAACCATTGAAAATCCTATGGAGCGTAGTTCTACTCTGACAAACATGGAGTTGCCATGAGTTGAAAGTGAAATCTACCACAAACGATTAATGATGTTAAACATTGTTGTTGTTGTTAAGTGCTGTCCAGTCAGTTCCGACTCATAGCAAGCCTGTATAGGGTTTCTGAGGAGCAGCTGGTGGGTTTGAACTGCCAACTTTGTGGCTCAAATTAACCTTGCGGTCCAGCACATTATCCTGTAGTGCCACACCAGGCGTCCTGGTAGCATAGTGGTTATGTGTTGGGCTGCTAACTGCAAGGTCAGCAGTTTGAATCTACCAACTGCTCCTTCGGAGAAAGATGAGGCATTCTACTCCTGTAAAGATTCACTGTCTTAGAAACCTATACGTGGTGACTATGAGTCGGAACCAACTCGATGGCACACCACTAGTATTTAATATTGTTGTTAAGTGCCATCAAGTCGGTTCTGACTCATAAAGACCTTGTATAGGGTTTCCAAGGAGTGGCTGGTGAGCTTGAACCATTGACCTTGCAGTTCAAACAGATTTTGAAGTTCAGTGCATTAACCCACAGCACCACACCAGGACTCTGATTTTTCATTGATTTATTTTTTTATTGTGAACTGAGAGATGGTTTACATGGGAAAACATCGACTTCACACCTTTGTTTCACTGCAGTGATTGTAATCTCCTTCGTGCATCATCATTCAACAGTATTTGCTTCTATTCCCTCTGTTTTTCTTTCTTTTTTTGTGGGGGGAAGCTGGGGAGATGTACACAAAAACACTCAGGAATATATAATCATTTAAACAACCAAAGGGCACAGTCAGCAAGCATGCCTCCTGGCTGCCAGCACTCAGTCCCTCTCTTTCCAGGAGGACTCTGATATTTAATATTAGGCATTAATTACAATAATTACAATATTTGCTGTGGTCTGCACAATTACAGCATCTGTTGGTGCTTCCTACCCTCCAGGTGGATGTGTGGAATGTCAGGAAGAGCAAATGATGACTCAATATATAAAAAATTATTATAAGAAAATTCCCAGGCCCAGAAACAGAATACCTGATTCTAAAAATGTCAGCTGAGGAAAAACAGGACTTGCCTGTAGCTGGCACCTCCTCCTTTCTCTCAAGGTAAAGTTTGAAGCTGCTGAAGATACCTTGTTAGATCAAATTTTTAGCTAGAGTTGAACAGGTTTTCTTTCATGAGATCAAAACACCACTATCCTTGAAAATGGAATGTGCAAATGTGGCTGTTAGCTTTTACAAAACATATATAAACTGTGGTTAGCCAGATACATTGGAATGCTGAAACCCTATCCATTAAAAACTTCTGTCTCTTCACTTGGGGAGGCAAAATACCACACTGGGCTAAGGCAAGGACCTTGGATACTACCACTGTAATAGTATGGGTTGTGTGTCAACTTGACTAAGCCAGGATTTCCAGAGGTTTAGCAGATGAGATGTGTTTAGTCCCATGGTGATGAAACCTAATACAGGCATAGTTAACTCTATGATGATTAGTTATGAACAACCAATCAATCGAAGGGATGCTTCCTTGGAGGTGTGGCCTGCTCCCAATATAGTGGATATGTAGTAAAGTCTCTCTCTCTCTTCCCCTGGGACTCTGCCATTATAAGTCATTTCCTTGATAATAAAATTCTCTTAATACATATATATGTCTCACTGGTTTTGCTTCTCTAGAAAACCCAGCCTAAAACATGTGAGGTTCTAGAGAAAGAAAACCATAAGGATGCATTTTCTAGATTAGTTCTCAAGTCTGACTAATTTTAAAGGTATTGATAAAGGGTCTGACCTCAACTTGGGTGGTCAGCCTTGGGCTGGTTTTGAGTTTGGGCCTCTTTTTCCCTTGTGGAGTCAGAGGAAGTCAGACATGGCCCACACAATGGTTTTTGCAGTCGGCATTAGGAGCAGGATTCATTTCAACAGCTCTAGACTCATGAAGCATGAGGTTTTATAAGAGAAGGAATGAAGGGGCATGGAATAAAATGTTTCAGCTGAGGGGAGAGCAGCATCTGTAGTTGCCTGGAGCCAATGTCATGCTGGATTAAAAAGATAGCCGATCTGATCTGTGGCCAGGGCCTACTGGAATCTACCCTGCCAGAGACCTAAGGCCATATTCATATGAAAGGGTTTAGGCCAAGGTAGAGGAAAAGATTGAACTTAAGTGTTTTTAAAAGGTTTATGCATTTGACTGCCTTATGGATATTGGTTTCTTCTGAGATTGGCACCCGTTGACCTTGAGATAATAGGGAAGTCTAACTCGTCTGAAGTTTAGGGAGGTGAGTGTGAAATTCCAAAATTGCAGCTGGTACCCATTGGACCTCTGGTAGCGAACCGCAAGGTCAGCAGTTTGAAACTACCAGCTGTTCCGTGGGAGAAAGATGAGGCTTTCTGCTCCGGTAAAGATTTACAGCCTCAGAAACCCTGTACAGAGTCAGAACCTACTCCACGGCACGTAACAACAACAACAACCCATTGGACCTAGCTTGGATGGCTAAGGCTGAGCTGTCTAGAATCAGACCAGATGACGTTAAAGATGTTTGATACTGTGAACAAGTGTAAATTCATACAATTTGTTGACCTGGACTTTTGCTTGTGGATACAGTTGCTAAAAATTGCAACCAGAATGGAAGAGTCTTCATATCAAGGACTCTTCATATCTCTTAAGTGTACTAGTTTGGTAGGACCAACCTAGAACTGCTGAGAGAACAGGAGATTCATAACTGAAAGAAAGCAGAGGGGAAAAAGCAGACAGGGTTGGCATTTTGAGTTTCAGGTTATCAAAGCAAGGAAAGTCAGCCTATCAGAGAAAACCCCCTTCTAAGACAAAAATTTAAAGGGAACAGTGAGCCATACACTAACTGGTGACCACCTGAGTGGATTTGCTAAAAGGGGAGTTAGAATTTGCCCGGGAAAAATAAACTTAAAAAACTAATTGTAGAAGATGTGTAACTAAAAGAGGGCGTAGTTATCTTTCATTTCAGGAACAGATGATCCCAGGACCATCAAGAAGGAAGAGTATGAGTGGAGTGTGAGATCCCTTCCTAGAAAAGCCGCGACAACAGAGGCAGTGGCATGGAGAGACAGCAGCTGTGGACTCTAGGCCCACGGACTAAGTTAAGCTGTGTGTTTTACTTAGGCAGGAAGCTGGCTTGCAGAAAGTGCCATTTGGACACTTAAATGAACATATTACCTATTTTTTGTTTTGTGTGTATGCATCAAGTATTTTTGCTTTCTTAATTTGTGACATGTAAAATGAAAATGGGGCCAGTGTATCTTCAGTTATTTGTTTTAGGTATGTTAGGCACAAGTATGATTTGATAATTTTCTTTATTTAGAGATTATGCATATAGTTTCAGGTTTCAAGTAGGGTGGACTGTAATACTTAGGGTTTTGTGTCAACTTGACTAGGCCAGGATTTCCAGAGGTTTAGCAGCTGGAATGTGCTTATTCCCATAGTTGTTGTTGCTGTTGTTCAGTGCTGTTCATAGGGTTCCGAGGAGCGACTGGTGAGCTTGAACCACTGACCTTGTGATTCAAACTGACTATTGTATAAGCAGGTAGTCAACTGAAGTGATGGTTCCTTGGGGGTGTGGCCTGCTCCCAATATAATGGACACTTGGGAAAGTCTCTGTCTCTCTCTTCTGCTGGGGACCTTGGACTCTGCAATTTCTTGATAATAAACTTCTCTTTATATACATGCTGTTATTGTGAAGTGCCGTCCAGTCGGTTCTAACCCATAGTGACCCTGTATAGGATTTCCAAGGAGCAGCTGGTGAGCTTGAACCGCCTATCTTGCAGTTCAAACGGCTTTGCAGTCTGGCGCATTAACCCACAGGGCTAAACCAGAACTCCCTTTACTATCTGTTTCTCTGCTTCTCTAGACTAGCCTTCGACAAGCACTTAGCACGGAACTTTGTGCAGCAACAAGAGAATTAGAGGAGATAATTGATATTAATTGTTCAGCTCAAAAACGTTCAGTGGCTGTGGGCTAAGAGGCTCCTAGTTGGTGAATGGGAGCCAGTTCTTGGGGTGGGGTGTCAGCTCATAGCTGCCCGGTATGTTCCTTCACCCTCCCCTCCGGGCCTCAGAGTCCCCAGTCCCAGTCCCTCTGACCCAAGCAAATTGGGGTTAGGAGGAGGGACATCACCGCTGCTCCACCCACTTGCAGCAACGCCTGGGCAACCCCCAGCACTCACAATCTGCTGGCCATATGCGCCCTTAGGCGGTAGGCTGGGACCCTCAGCACATGCTCAGTGTCCGCACACCCGCAGCCCCGGTCAGGTCACTCAGCTCCACGGATCCGGATCCGCCCTACGGGCAGCACAGACAATTGCACAAAGTGCTTGATGATTAGAGCCGCCCCTTGGGGCCGGGCTGGGGGAGTGGCCGCAATGGCCTGCCCCGGACTGTGTCCCAGCTCTGCCCTGAGCCTAAGACGGTTTTGAGTTTGTGTCGCTGTTTCACCATGGGCCTGGAGCTCTACCTGGACCTGCTGTCGCAACCCTGCCGCGCTATCTACATCTTCGCCAGGAAGAATGGTATCCCTTTTGAGCTCCGAATTGTGGAGCTGCTCAAAGGTAGGTCAGAACTCCCTTGTTGGGGGCTTGGAGAGGCCAGACCTCCCTTGTGGTGGTGGTGGAGTTTGGAGAGGCTAGACCTCCTTTAGTGGGTGCCAGATCTTCCTTAGGAGAACCATCTCCTAACTGGTGCCAACCAGGCCTAGGAGTGAGCCATCATGGAGAGAGCGCCGCACCCCCCCCCCAAAAAAAAAAAACACACAAAAAACCAACAACAACAACAAAAACAAAGTTTCATTCCCATGGAAAGACGTCATGGAGGCGGAGTAAAAGGAAGCGGAACATGAAGAGAGAGCTCTGGTGAATAGGAAGGGCTGTAAATAAGGCATGGAGATGCTAAACCCACTGCCATAGAATTGATTTCCACTCAGAGTGACCCTATAGGATAGAGCTTAACTACTGCCTAAGCTTTCATAGGGAGCAGATGGCCACATCTTTCTCTCTCGGAGGGACCGAGACCTTTTAGTTAGCAAGTCAATGCTTAGCCCACTGTGCCACTAAAGTTTCACAAGTCAATGGATAGCTGGAAAAGGCCACTTCTTGTGACTAGTAACCATTCTCTAGAGGTAAAGGGAAGTCCTGATTTGAGTGACCAGCCACCCTGTCCCAACAGCTTGAGTACCCTAAATGAGAGCTTGTGAAGCTGGCACTGCTGGAAAGGAGGATGGTACAAGGAAGGCCAGGGCAGGAACAGGCTCCAGCTGGTTCTGCACACTGGACTCCTTGGAGAGGAGATGGCAGTGGAAGAAGGGCAGGAGGAGGCTGTGCCCAGGTGGACTCAGCAATGGGGGTCAGGGAGGAGAGCCAATTTCCAATCAGCTGGAAGAACAGCCTCCCCCTCCTTCCTCTGTGGCCCCACTCAGCCTTTGCCATGTGGGGAGCAGCTCAGAGCTTGGAGAAGAGCCACAGAATTGGGGCCTGGGTATAACAAGAAGTGGGACCAGGCCATGGAGGACTCAGTGTCCTCCATACTGGTCTCCCCTACAGGTCAGCACCTCAGTGATGCCTTTACCCAAGTGAACTCCATGAATAAAGTGCCAGCCTTGAAGGACGGGGACTTCATCTTGACTGAGAGGTAACGGAGTCCCCAAGGCCACTGTCAGATCTTTTAGGAAGTACTCTGTTCTAACCCTCTATTCCATGGAAAACTGAAGTCCTTGGGGACAGCAGGTTCTTTGCTCAATGTCCCCCTGACAGTAAGGATTAGAACCCAGGCCCTGCCTGCCCATTGCTCCCACTCACTGGGATGGCCAGAAAAGCAAGCTTTACTTCTGCATCAATCCTTTGGTTGTTGGTGAAAGTATCCCCAGGTTATAGGGCACTGGGCAGGACAGGCGGGTGGTAGCTTCATCCCCCACCAAGCTTGAGTCTGTCTCTGGGTATGACATCCTCTGGTGAAGCCTTTCAAGCTGTGGGTAAGGTAAGAAATTCAACTGTCCCAGCTTTAGAAGAGCTTAAAGGAAGAGACAGGGTTGGGTTCCCAGCACTCAGGGTGGGTGGGTAAAGAGACATGCTCCACAGACATACCCCAGCAGCCAAATGGATGGCATATAGGAGAGTTTTCCAGTAAGAGAACCATCAGACATGTGGATGTTTCACATCACAGCAGGTCATCTTCAAGAGGGTCATATTGTTTCCTGGTTCTGCCTCTTGCCACCTACAAGGAGAACTTGGACTTTATGCTCTAAAAAAGTAGATGCACCCTCAATGAATTCCTCTGACACACTACCAGCTCCATGCTTCCTCCTGGTGCCCACATACCCCATGACCTTGTGCTATGTCCATGACCAACACCCATGGGGATGGCATGCAATCTCTATATTTGCTCACCCATCCTTGGGAGCTCTGTGGTTCACAGGAGCCTTCGGCCCTCACTGTGGGGGGCTTCAATAATTTGCTAGGACCAAAATGGCACTCCAGGGCATCCTGCAAAGATGACTAAGACATTAAGGAAGAGCTGAGTGGAGGATTTGTAGGGGGGGATGTGGGCCAGCAGTAGATGCAGAAGCTTCCTACTCTTTAGACTTGGATACCCAGTTCTGTATGTTTAAATTCCCAAAAGCTTTCCAATGGTTCTAAATTCACACCTCTCCAGTGTTTTCCAGGACCATCCCTTCCCAACACAACTTTCCACCTTCATAATCAAGGGTCCTGTCTTTGCTGCTACTGTACTATCCTGCATCACCCAGTGTATCCTGAAACATGCTTTAGAAAGCTGAACAATCCCATCTGGGTTAGCAAGATACTCTTCCTGGAAGAAAAAATGACAGATAGAACAAAAGCCTGACTAGAAGTCTTAATGAAAACATCAGGCCATTTGAAGTTGAATGCCAGATAATGGGATTGGATGCAAGATGGAAAGAATTTGACTTCTTTATGGCTCAACTTTGTTTTGTTTTGTTTTTTTTTAACAGACAAGATCATCAGCTTTACTTTCACCCAATTATATGTTTTGTTTCTTCTAAATAATTATAATCCCCCCTCCCCCGCAACAACAGTTAGCCTGCTTCTAACCCTGTGACTTCCCTTTTACATCTTATTTTTCACAAATCAACAAAGCAGAAATATTTGTTGTACACATACAAAACGAAGAATATATATTCATTTAAATATCTAAAGGACACATTTGCAAGCCAGCCTTTTGCTTGCAGGCACATAGCCTTTCTCAGTCCATGGGCCTAGAGTCCACAACTGCTCTACCTCTCCATGCCCATCACCTCTGCCACTGTCTCTGCTGTGGCCTCTTTTCGAGGTAGGTTCTCACGCTCCACTCATGCTCTTCCTTCTTGATGGTACTGGGATCGTCTGTTCTTGAAATGAAAGATGAACTACTCCTCCCTTTTAGTTCCACATCATTTACAATCACAGTTGCGACAATAGCAATTAATCCTGCTAACAGTTACTCACAATTGAATCATAAAATCCTATCACCATCATTCCCTATCCTCTTTCACCAGATCATCTGGAAAAGAGCAAAACAATTCAGTGGGGATTCTACATTACTCCTTTTTTTCTGAAACTAAGCACACTCATGAAACTTGTAAGCCAGCTATTTCGTGCCTTTATAGCTTCCCATTTTTTATTGTTGCTGTTGTTAAGTGCCGTCGAGTTGGTTGGTTCCGACCCATAGCAACCCTGCATAGGGTTTCCGAGGAGCAGCTTGTAAGCTTGAACCACTGACCTTGCAAAACGGCTTGCACATTAACCCACAGTGCCACACCAGTACTCTGCATTTTTGATAGCCAGTGTCTAAATTGACCATCCCTATCAACCCAGTGCACTGAGAAAACAAGCTTGGTGTTTGATATGAAGAAGCCTTGCATTTTGGTTGGAATTTTGAGCAACTGCATCCATAAGCAAAGGTCTTGTTCATCAAGTTGTAGTAATTTATACTTGCCCACAGTATCAAAATGACTTCATCAACACTCATGGAAGCAGCAGTCAAGAAATCAAATGTATTGCATTTGGCAAATCTACTGCACAAGACCTCTTTATTCTTGAAGAGCAAAAATGTCAGTTTGAGGACTAAGGTGTACCTGACCCAAGCCATGGTTTTTTCAATAACCTCATGCAAAAGTAGAATAGAAGAATTGATGCATTTGAGTTATGGTGTTGGAGAAGAATACTGAAGGTGCCATGGACTGCCAAAAGAACCAATAGCTCTGTGATGGAAGAAGTACAGCCAGAGTGCTTCTTAGAAACCAGGATGGCCAGACTTCATCTTTCATACTTCAGACACATTGTCAGAAGTGACCAGTCACTGGAGAAGGATATCATGTTTGGTAAGGTAGAGGGTCAGAGAAAAAGAGGAAGACCCCTAACGAGATGGACTGGCACAGTGGCAGCATCAGTGGGCTCACAATGTAGCGATGATTATGAGGCTGGCCCAGGATCAGGCAGTGTTCCGTTCTGTTGTACATATATGGTTGCTATGAATTGGTACTGACTCAGTGGCACCTAACAACAACAGTATTAAGCATCTTTAGCTTTATCTGGTTGAGTTCTGGTCAGCTAGCCAACCAAGCCAGGTTAATGGGTACTAGCTGCAAGTTTGGGAGTTCACACATGCCTCCCCACACTTCAGACCATTTGGCCACTTCACTTTCAGCCATAGCCCCCAGGGGCTAGGTCAGTACCATGGATGGTCTCAGGAGTTCACCTCCCTAAATTTCAGACCAGCCAGCCCTTCCTCTTCTTTCACTCATCTCAAGGTCAATGGGTATCAATGGAATATGGCCAAACTCAGCCCATGTCTTCATTGATGCATTTCCCCCACTTTCACAAACAAGAAGACCAGGGTAGTTGCTAGTGAGCATAGTAGACTGCTCATGGGTTCTCTTTGAGTTCAGTCTTAGAAGGGAGTTTTCCTTGTTGGGCTGAGTTTTGTTGCCTTGATACATCCAAAGCAAACAGCTTGCTTGATATTCTAATAGCCAATCAGTCTGCTTTTATCCGCTGGTCTTTCGTTCAATAAGAATTTTCTGTTCTCCCAGCTGTTCTGGGTTGGTCTTGGTGTCTTTTCAAGTGGAAGGTTCTGGGAGGGGCTCATGATTCCGCCTAAAGCCCCATACTCCACAAAGACTTAACAAGAAGCCTATTTCCCTGGACAAATTCTAATTCCTCTTTTAGCTAATCCAGTCCATTATTGGTGGAAGGTGGGTTTATAAGTTTTCTGTAATCATAATTCCCAATAGTAATTTCTCTCACACTTAAATGTCTATTTTACAATGTTGTTGTTAAGTGCCGTTGAGTAGATTCCGACCCATAGCGACCCTGTATAGGGTTTCCAAGGAGCAGCTGGTGAGCTTGAACCACCGAACTTGCAGTTCAGACGACTTTGCAGTATGACACATTAGCCCACAGCACCACACCAGTAGGCAGAAAAACTAATAACCGTAAGACAATCAAGCATTATGGCTTGACTTTGATGTCATCTCCTCTGAAAAGCTTTTGCTTGTAGTCTGATCAGGAACTCTCTCTGGACATTTGACAGAATACCATGCTATGAGATTTGTTGCCTGGTGTTGGCACAAACCTGGGTATTAGCTATTAAAAATGCTCAGCTTTGCCATTTAAGGGCTGTGTGCCTTTGTCAGAAACATGGGGATAATAACCTGGCAGACTGTCAGCAAGATTGCAGAAAGTGCTCTGTGTAAATACTTAGCACAGTGGCTTTCCCAATGCATCATATCTCCCTCTCAGTGTGGCCATCCTGCTATACCTGACCCGCAAATATAAGGTCTCTGATCACTGGTATCCTCAGGACCTGCAGGCCTGTGCCCGTGTGGATGAGTACCTGGCATGGCAGCACACAACCCTTCGGAGAAACTGTCTCCGGACGCTGTGGCATAAGGTGAGGAGGCCCCAGGGGAGGTGGAGGAAGGCAAAGAGTATCACCCTAGGATGCTCTGGCACCGTTCTCAGTTTGTACAATCTTTATTCATCTTTCTTTTAGCTCACTTGTTTCTTCTGTTGTGCCCAGTTTGTGAATTCCTTATTCCAGATGTGCATTTTTTAGTTCTAGAATTTCTATTTGATTAATTTTTAGGGTTTCATTTCTCTACTAAAATGCTCCATCTCTCTACCCATTTTGCCCATCTTGTCTTCTAAATTCTTTGACACAGTTATGATGTTGTTATTGTTCTTAAGTGTCATCAAGTCAGTTCTGACTCATAGAGACCTTGTATAACGTTTCTGAGGAACAGCTATTGGATTTTTAACCACCTACTGTGGGGTTCAAACCAACTTTAAGGTCCAGAGCTTATCCTACAATGCAGTTATAATTTGGAAGTCGTTTTTCGGCCAATTTAAATACCTAGGTTCTCTGTGGGTCTGTGTCTATTGAGTGTTTTTTTTCCCTCTTGATAGCTGGTCACATTTTCTCACCTTTTTGTGTAATTATGTTCAATAATTTATGATTGTATGCTGAGCATTGTTAGAAGAATAGAGATTGAAGTAGATGATAAATACCCTCAGAAAGGGCTTGCATTTTCCTCTACCTCACAGCCTGGGTGAGAAGCTAATCATTTCTAGCTAATCAGGAGCTGGGCTGGGTTGTTACTTTAGTTAATTACAGTTCATTCCTTATTTCATATCATCTCTGGTTTCCAACATCTTAAAGATGGGATCAGGGAGCTCATTCTACAGGACTTTGAAACCTAAGCACCAAATAAAGACTATAAGAATTAATTTTCAGCCTGTCCCCAATTCTCTACATTGCTGCTTAGTCAGGAAAGTTTTTTGCTTATGACAAGCTTACCCCTCTGCTTGCCAGGCCCCAGGGATGAAAGTGGCTTATTTAAGAAGGGCTGTAGCATCACTATACATGAGCCCTGGTGTGGCACTGTAGGATAATCACTGGACTGCTAACCAAATGGTTAGTGGTTCAAAGCCACCAGCTGCCCCTTGGAGACCCTATACAGGGTTGCGATGAGTCTGGATTACTCAATGGCACTTAATAACAACAATAGCATTGCTATATATGAGCCCTGGTGTGGCGCTGTAGGATAAGCAATGGACTGCTAACCGCAAGGTTCGTGGTTCAAACTTACCAGCTGCTCCTCAGAAACACTATATAGGGTCACTATGAGTCAGAATAGACTCGACAGTATTTAACAACAATAGCATTGCTTTACATGAGCCCTGGGGTACACTGTGGGACAAGTGCTGGACTGCTAACCACAAAGTCGGCAGTTCAAACCCACCAGCTGCTCCTTGAAAACCCTGTACGGCATCGTTATGAATCGGAACCGACTTGACAACACTCAACAACAATAGATCACTATACATGAGCCCTGGTGTGTCTCCTCAAAAACACTATACAGGGTCACTCTGAGTTGGAACCTACTAGGTGGCTCACAGTGACAACAACAGCAGCAGCAGGGTCCTGGTGGCACTGTTGGTTAAGCACTGGACCACTAACTATAAGGTCATCGGTTCAAACTCACCAGCTGCACTGCACCTTGAGAGAAAAATGAGATTGTTACTTCTGTTAAGATTGACAGCCTTGGAAACCCTAAAGAACAGTTCTACTTTGTGCTTTCAGGTCACTATGAGTCAGAATTGACTTGATGGCAGTGAGTTTGGGGTTCATGACTCTCTAACTAGCTTAGCATTGTCCAATAGAAATATAAATCGAGCCACATACTTAATTTAAAATTTTCTAGTTGTTGTTAGCTGTGGTGCAGTTGGCACAGACTCATGGTGACCTCATCTGGTACAGAGTAGAACCGCTACATAGGGTTGTTCTTTGGCTGTAATCTTTACAGAAGTAGCTAGTCAGGCCTTCCTTTCATGGAACCACTGGATAGATTCGAATCACCAATCTTTAGGTTAGCAACTGATCACAAAACGTTTGCAGCATCCAGCCTCCTAAATTTCCAAGTTGTTGTTAAGTGCTCTTTAGTTGGTTCTGCCTCATAGTGACCCTGTATAGGGTTTCCAAGGCTGTAAATCTTTATGGGAACAGAAAGCCTTATCTTTCTCCCTTGAAGCAGCTGGTGGGCTCAAAACTCCATATGGTTAGCAGTCCAGTGCTTATCCTACAGAGTCACTGTGCTCCAGAAATTTCCTAGTAGGCACATTAAAAGAATTAAAAGTAACAGGTAAAATGAATATAATGTGTTTAACCCAACACATTAAAATGTATATTTTAATGTGTGTCTTAGTTATATTGTACTGCTATAACAAAAATACCACAAGTGGGATGTTTTATTATTATAATTATTATTTCTAAGTGGATGTTTTAAAGTTTTTATTGTGAATTGAGTGATAGTTTACTTGGGGGAATATCGGTTTAATACTCATTATTTCATTTCAGTGACTACAATCCTCCTAGTGCATCATCGTTCAAAGTATTTGCTTCTATTCCCTCTGAGTTGTTTTTTTGTTTGTTTGTTTGTTTTTAGGTTGGGGGGGGATGTACACCAAAACTCTCAGGAATATATAATCATTTAAATAAAGGGCACATTCTGCAAGCCTGCCTCCTGGCTGCCAGCACACATTCTTTCTCTTTCCATGAGTCTAGAGGCCTCAGCTGCTCTATCTCTCCATGTCCTCATCTCTGCCTCCATCTCTGGTGTCACTGCTCCTCTGGATAGGGTCCCACATTCCGCTCATGCTCTTCTCCCCTGATGGTCCTAGGGTCCTCTGTTCCTGGAATGTAAGATTACTACTCCCTCCTTTTTGTTACAAAACTTCTACCTTCACAGATGTGACTATTGCAATTGGTAATGATAACAACTACTCTAAAGTAGGTGTTTTAAAAGAGCTGAAATTTATTTTTGTTTAGGAGACTAAAAGTTCAAATCAGGGTCTTGTTCATTTTAATTTCTTTGTAAACCTTTGCCCTAGTTTCTGCCAGCAATCCTTAGCCTTTTTTGGTGTTCCTGGAGTTCTTTGGTGTCTGTTTCCTCCTTGTGTGTGAATCTGTGTCTATTCTGCTCTTTTGAGAATTCAGAAGTGATTAGGTTTAGGACCCACCCCTCACCCTGGTGTAACTTCACTAACATAGCAAAAGAAAACTCCCTTTTCCAAACAGGGTCCTGCTTATACTTGTTTGCCCTTGCAATGTATTGTCCATTTCTGAAATCTTATTATTAATATTTGGATTTCTAATTACAGGTTTTATATTGTTTCAAAATTTGTATTTATTTTGTCTATTTGTTCTTATAGTATTCTTGAATTCTTCTGAAGTTTTTTTCTGTGTTCTTCTTGCTTTCCTCAGTCTTTCTGTCAACCTGCTGAGAATGTATCCAAATATCATTCTTTGAATTCTGTTTCAGTGAGTTTCATTACCTTTACTTCCTCAGAAATGTTTTCTGGCTCTACCTTCTTGGTCATTTGTTTCTTCATGTTAGTTAGAATGGAAATATGTGCACTAATTTCTGTTCATTATTCATGCACCTCAGTTTATGGTGATTTGGCTGGTGTTGGCTGCTGCCTATCGTAGATCATGAGGTATAGGAACTGGTATTGACTCCTGTGGAGCTGCAGGAGGTACAGTTGTGCTTGGGCTGTATGGGCACAGTTGTTATCTCCTATCAGTTGGGAAAGAGGAGAAACCACCTTCCCACCCACTTACTCACTCTCACACAAAACAAAACAAAACAAAACAAAACAAACAAGCAAAGCAATCAACAATGAAAGAGAAATTAATGAAGGAGAAAAAAAAAAAGAAAAACTAGAGGGAAACAAACAAACAAACAAGAATATAATAAGCAAAAAGAGAAAAGAGGGACAGGAAAATAGACCTATAGAAGAGAAAAATAAGAGAGAAATCAAAAGGAAGAAAACAAACAAACAGCACTCAGAAAAACCCGGGAGAGGGAAGATGAAAAGAGTTGTTGTTAAGTGCAGTGACGTCAGTTCCAACTCATAGCAACTCTGTGTAGGGTATCCAGGGAGTAGCTGGTAGGTTTAAACCACCAACTTTGTGGTTAGCAGTTCAGTGTTTATCCTACAGTGCCACAAAAGGGAAAAAAATGGAGAGGGGAAATGAGGAACAGAAGAAAAGAAGGAAGAATGAAAGCAGAGATGGGATAAAATTCAAGGGAATGAAAAGAGGAAAAGAATAAACAAAACCAATGAAACAGTGAAAGGAAAACAAAAAAAAACAGTGCAGCTGTTAGACCCAGACAGGCGAAAACTCAGGGGGCGGTGGTGGTGGTAGTGGGGCTCCTGCCAGTCAAGGAGCTTACAAGGTGAGTGCAGGAGGGATATGACAGAGGAGTTCCTGGCCCTTAGATGAAGTTGTCTATATCTTCAGGAGGCCCTTGTTGGAGCTGGTTTCTCTGTCTATTAGGACACAGGGCAGCTGGGGGTTGGGTGGCTGATTGTGAGGGTTTCTGCTAGACTAATGCTGAAGAAAGAGTGACAAACTACTTCCGAATCGCTAGTCATTGAAAACCTTATGAATAGAAGAGAAACACTGTCAGATACAGGGACAGAAAATGAGCCCCTCAGGTTGGAAGGCACTCAAAATGCGACTGGGGAAGAGATGCCTCCTCAAAGTAGAGTTGACCATGATGACGTGAATAGAGTTAAGCTCGTGGGAGAAAAGCCCACAGAACCTTCATTTGCTGATGGGCCACAACTCAAAATGAAGAGAAATAGCTGTAAACATCCACTGAAAATCGGAACGTGGAATGTACGAAGTATGAATCTGGGAAAATTGGAAGTGGTCAAAAATGAAATGAAATGCATCAACATCGGTATCTTAGGCATTAGTGAGCTGAAATGGACTGGTATTGGCCATTTTGAATCTGACAACCACATGGTTTACTATGCAGTAAGGAATGACAAATTGAAAAGGAATGGTGTTACATTCATCATCAAAAAGAAGGTATCCAGATCAGTCATGA